CTCATTCCATCTTTGCTTTTCTGGGCAATAATTTGGTAATTAATTCATTCCAATGTATCTTCCAATTTGCTAATTATTTCCTCAAGTATGTCTAATTTCCCTCACTCATAGTGTATTTCACTTCAGTTATTTGTTACAATTCTCTAAAAAAAATTTTTTAGTTTCTTTCCATAGGTACTTTGCTCTTTTTGGCAATTTCTTGCACCTTTATTGATACTACTGTCTTTGCATTTACTTATCTGTACTAGCATGGGCCCACACATGAGCATACATGAGTGTGTGTGTGTGTGTGTGTGTGCGTGCGCACATTTCAATGGGATATTTATTTTGTATTTTGCATTTGAACATTCAGCATCTGAGACATTTGTGACTGATTCTGTTTTTCTTGTCATTGTTGCTGATTCTCTGAAGTTTTGTGTGTGTGTGTGTGTTTTTTTGTAAACTTGTGTTTACTATAATGCACATCTGTGATCATTCTTTGCAGGTGTGTTCAGAGACTGTACATTTGCTTCAGCTTGCTTGGGGACCTTTGCCAGTCCCACAGAGGGACTACCGACTCAGGGCTACTTTAGACTAAGTTCCGAAATTGGATTCTTTCATTTATGTAGTGAAAAATCTACTTCCTGTGAGTGAACATTTGTGGTCTGGAATTCTCAGAAGAAATTAAAAAATAACCCCCCCCCCTTTCTACGTGGAAGGTGTAGACAGGAAGGGCAACTCTTCACCTTCCCTTCAAGGGAGATTTTTCTGGTTCTTGCATTCTGGAAGCCATAGCTCTGAGGGCTCACTGTTGGACAGGAATGTGGAACTCATTCCCAACCACGAGTGGACCAGGTTTGTTCTCATTACCCTGTGTGACCATTGACGTGTGCATGTGGCATCGTGAGGGGATTGACAGAAACCTCAGAACAGTGCGTGGATTGTGCATATCACCTACATTCCTACCTCCATTTCACTGGGGGAAACGTCACAAGTCCCGAACTGGGGAAATGCACTGCATCTCTCTGCCTGTCTATCATGCCTGAAAATTTATGTCTCTCTACTGTTTGAATATCCCCTCCAGAATGGGTGTTGAAAAAAAGTTTTCTGAAATGGATTTTTAAAAATGTTTGGATTAGTATATAATAACTGTACTTATTTCACGTTGAAATTCAATTGCTACTTTAACAATGCTAAGAGGTGGGAGCGTTAGGGAGTAATTAAGAGGCTTAGACAGGAGAATCACAAACTGAAGCACAGCCTGAGTAACTTAGCAACTTAGAAAGACCTTGTCTCTAGTTAAACAAAGCCAAACCCAAACCAAACCAGCAAACGGAGCAAGGGATACAGCTCAGCACGAAAGGCCTGAATTTCATCTCCAGTATGAAAAAAGAGAAACACTGAGAGAGAAGAAGTAATTGCTTTTATCCCAGCATTTCTGGGAAGGCTTCCTAGAGTGGGAGGAAAGGGGAAAGGAAACAAAGTTGAGTGTCTGCCGAGGGTGACCTTCCCTAAGTAAGTGGATCTCGCTCTCACAGCCATAACTATGGTGCTATCTTCATGTTAGAGAGGAAGAAACTGAGACTGACTCACTTGTGCCCAAAGCAGCAGAGCTACTGAATGAAGAAGATAGGATGTGAACCCCAACAAGGTGTTACTTGGATTGTATACTGGAGAATGAATGGTGGTGTATTATTTAGCTATTGACCACAAACTGCTGTGTAACAAATCACCCACATTCTCTAGTCAAAGCAAACATTTATTCTGCAAGATTTGTGGATCAGCTAAGGATTGGTTGATACATATTGGGGTTGGCTGGGGTGATGCTTTCTAGGTTTTGTGGGGGAGGCTGGCTGATCCAGGCTGTGCTCAAACTTCTCTGCTGTACTCGGACCAGTAGGCCACTTGGGGCACAATCTTTCATGACGATGACAAGCACTCAAGATGGGAGACCAGTGAGGGGACGCTACCCCTTTCACCTCACGAGTCAGCCACGGCAAGTCACACGGTCAGTCCTGAACACAAAGGGCGGGGGGAATCGCCTGGCATTTTAGTGAGGGGAAATGCATAGACCCCATGGCGAAAGGTATGGGTATAAAGAAGGAAGGCTGAAGGGTTAGGGTCAACAATGCAGCCAGTTAGAGTGGGTTCCCAAGGAGTTTAGAAGAGGAAATGAAGCATCGGTCAAGACAGGGGAGAGGAAAGAGAAGGGGAAATGTTTATGAAGCCAGTGGCTATATTAGAATGTTTTCATATACTTGATCCGTATAATCACCCTGTCAAATAGGTTTATTATCTGTTTTCTGGAGAGAAAAGCCCACAATTCTTTGGGGTGGTGATAAGGGGACTCTCCCACAATAAAGCGGGACAAGGAAATGCTCCCCTGGCTCCTCACTCCTTCTTGGGTTCACATGGAAATCTGTCTCACTCTTCAGTCTGTGCTTTCCCCCCTAAACATGGGGGTTAGTGACTTTTTTTTCTGCAAAGAGCCAGAAGGTGACTATTTTGGGCTTGGCAGGCCTTATAGTCACTGAAGGCAAGGCTCGACTCTGCCGCAGTCGTGTAGAAGCTGTCACAGATAATACATAAACAAACGCGCCTGTGTGCACCTAGGAGAACGTTGTTTCCAAAGAAGGGCAGTGGACCGTGGTCACAGGCTGGAGTTTGGGTGGTTTCTGCATTGCTGTATTCTCTTGCAGAGGTGACACAGCAAGAAAAGTGAGCAAGAAGACACGGGTATGTGAGTAAGCAGGACGCCAGGAGATGGACAATAATCGGCTGAGCAGGAATAAACAGGAGCAGGTGGGGCTCGTGGGAGGGCTAGGTTTGCGGGGGTTGGGAATGCTGAAACACAATCAGGGCCCAGGCCTTGTGTCTCCACTCTGTAGATTCTGGGAGAACCCAGCAAAGGGGAAAGAGACCAGCCTTTGTTTTTGAAAGAGGTGACAGTTTGGAAAGGAGTGAAAAACCTAGAAGGAATGATATAAGGGCAGAGTAGGCAGAGGGGAAGCAGCCAGCTTATGAGGCCCTGCTGTAGTTTGGCTCTGGAAAGTCACCCCAAAGGCCCATGTCGTAGGCCTTGTTTCCCAGCCCATGATACAGTGACAAGATGGCGGCACCTTTAAAAGGGGGCTTTTCATTCAAAGTCTTCTCTCAGCTCCATCACCAGCTGGTATTTTTTATTTTTAGAGAAGTCACTAGACTAAGTCACTAGATTGCACAGGGTGATCTTGAACTTGTGATCCTTCTGTGTCAGATGCCCAGAGTGTCTTTTTTTTGCTGCCTGATTGCCATGAGATGAGCAGTTTCCTCTGCCACATGCCTCTTACACAGGTGTAGGAGCAATGGAGCCAACCAAACATGGGATTGAAACCTTTAGAACTGTGAGTCAAACTAAGTCTTTCCTCTTTTTAAGGTCATAACCTCAGACGTTTTGTCATGGTGATGGAAACTGACTAATACAACCCTCTACTGGGACACTAGGTTGAAGAGAGTATTATCAAGATTCCTCCCTGGCCAACAGCCTGAAAGATAAGACAATCAGAATCAAAGACTCAGAAATAAATGAAACAAATATCTTCTTCTATCCCACTCTCTTTTGGAAGAATTTCCTTATTGTGGACCTGAGCTTTTGGTGGCAGATTCTGGTACTACTATTGGAAAGAGTTAATGCTTGGAAAGAAAAAACTACCATGTGGTGACAAAGAATTTGTTCTGTTCTCTGGGTGGCAGCCACAGGATTCCTCGCCAATTAGTAGCATCTGGTGCTCGTAGAAGACGCATCCCTGGTGGAGCTGGCAGGTACCTCTGGATGTGACACTCAGCGAGGGCTCCTGAGGGCCCATCTGTGATGTCTTCCCTTCCCAGATTCTGCAGCCCTCCCTCCCCCTCTCCAACCAGTCAGCCTTTCATCTGAAATATTTTTAAACACTTAGCACTGAAAAGCAAGACTATCTCCGGCACTTTTTTTTTTTTTTTAAAAAAAGATGAGGGTGAGATTCCAAGTAGGTTTTTCCAAATTTAATGAAAGGAGACAGCTATGACTGTCACAGCTATGATTTCATGAACATTTATAAGTATGGGAGGGTCTATGTTCACCCTTTTCCATGTACTGTCACAGTGATCAAGTCTACTTCCTGAGGATGCTGATGCTATTATTATTCCGATTCACAGAGGAAGGACCTGAGTCTCAGAGAGCTCCACTTCCATTGGCCAAGGTCATATGGAGCTGGAGTGTTTGGGACAAGGTCTCAACTCTGTGGTGTCTGGGCCTCCATCTCCGATGGACACCTGACATATTGGGAAATCTAAGAACTCACGTCATATAGAGATACGTATTTAATTGGCGACAGTTCAGAGCAGGAAAATACCTTTATTTTTTCTTGCTTTTGTGTGAAATAAATTGGGGCCCTATTGTTCCCAGGGGTCCCTCCTGAGTTTTGTAAGAGTATACTCAAATGATCATATTTACTCTAAGTTCCTTTGTCTACATGATGCTCTTACAGTTAGTATCGGACAGGAGGAGGCTGCTGTCTGCTCCAGGAACCCCACACCTAGCACTTTCTTAGACTCTCAGACTTGATTTTCTTTCTAGAGGTGGAACCAGGCTGTCTCTACAATTCCTTTATACCCGTGGTCCTCTGAAATCCAGGCCCTTTGCTTCCCTCCCATCCAAGCCTAATTAACCAGCTTGGTTTCCAAATGGGCTCTGTTGACTGGGTAGGAAAAGAATAAGGCTCTGCTTGCTATTCAGACACATGGTCTTCATTCACTGGGAAAGAAGAGCCCTGGGTCTTAATGAAGAATAAAGAATTCTACAGATGAATTTTTCAGTTTCCTGTCAAAAGCTCAGATTGAGAAATGCAGAGTTGCCCAGCTTGTGGTCTTTTATTTTAAGTAACAGTGGGATAAAGAAGGCACTGCTAGCAAGCAAATGCAGGAGTTAGTTTCCTAAATTGATGATGCGTCTGGCTACTTCAACCCCTTTCAATTTCAAATGCAATTTGTCCAAAGCCTCCCATTTAAACTTCACAGATCTTCTCTAGACTAAATAATAGGCAACACAGCCCTCCAGCTTCCCATGAAAAGACAAAGGCTGTGCACGTACGTGTGTGTGAGCCTGTGCATGTGTGCAGTAGTGGCAATAGATTGGGACTGATATAAAGCATGCATTCTAACTGATGATTGAATTTAAAGCTCTTTCATTTCTGCTGGGGATTTGGGATCTGATGAAATTATCAGCGAATCTCCTGGGCTTGGCATGCCATGATGTCAGATATAAACAAAGATGTGGATCAGCTGTGGGTAAAGCCGGGGGGGGGGGTCCTGGGGATTTGGTTGATGCCCAGAGAACCTCCACGGTCTTCCTTTCTGTCCCACTCCTGTCCCAGCTACAGATTAACTACACATCTCTAAGTCATTTCTTTGGCCCCCCTCAAGTGGTTCCTGCCTCCAGCGTTACCCTCCACAGTCCACTTGCAAACACCTACCTGCCTGCAAGCTTTTCTAACATGCAAACTTTTGGAAGTCGCTTCCCTGCTCGAGAGCCTCTATGAGCTTCCGGTTGCCAAGAGACTCAGTAGAGACCCTCAGATCAATAACAAACGCCTCCAGAGAGCATCCACAAGCAAGGCGCCATTCTTCTCTGCTCCCTGCAGGCCCCGCCCACTTCCGAGAGCCCTTGGCTCTCCCAACCTGACCTTTGCCTGTGGAGTTCCCACTGCTAACATTACCGGGCTCCCTCTACCTCCCACCCACTGGTGCTCAAAGAAGTGTTTTCCGCATTGTCAAAGCTTAGTGTTTTTCAAGGATTCTTTGAAGTTGGGAAATTCAATTTCTATGGAAATGCTATATTCTCCTGGCTAAGTTTCTTGTAAGATTTTGCTCAATTGCTGCTTCTCCTGGAAATCTCTAATTCTCCTGGCAAGTGATGGGTGCTCAATAAATGTGCAATAAAATAATGCCAGAATGGATGTGTGAATGGAAGGGCAAGAGTTCTTTTAAAATTTTTTGTCAGAGTCACAGACTCAGGATATATATATGTGTATATATATATATATATATATGTATGTATGTTTTTTTTTCCTTTTCTATTTCTATCACTTGCCCCTCCCAAACTGCATCTTCGTCACCACTGTACATTGCTGTTGTCAGAACTGGAGTCGAACTCGTCCAATTTTAGGCTGAGAGAGGGGTTAGATGATTTAGTGTCACCTGGCAAGAAGGTACCCAAGTAGCACTGGAGCACGGCCTTCCCGAGCCTGAGCCCAAAGCTTTTTCTTTTTAATGTGAGTTTCTGGATTAGTCTCTGTCTGTTCCATCCACGGGGCTGTTCCAGGCGGTGAAGACTGGTTGGCCACATGAGGGATTCCTTTTTTCCAGTCCATGATGCCTTCAGAAGATAGGGGTCTAAGGACTTCTCTATGGTTTTGTTGTTGGTGGTGTTGCTTTAATTAAATATTTAAGATGGTAGTTTATAAAGAAAATAAACATTTATTTCCCAGTTTTGCAGGGTTAAGAAGTCAAACTTCTCAGCCTCTGGCCAGGGCCTGGTTGCTGTACCATTAACAGGTCAGAGGGTACCTGTGAGGACACAGATTGGTTGTGCTAGCTCGAGTCTCTTCTTCCTTTTACAAAGCTACAAATGAGCTGAGTGTAGTGGTGCATGCCTGTGATCCCAGCACTCTGGGAGGCTGAGATGCCTCACAAGTTCGAGCCCATCCCGGGGAACTTAGCACAACCCTGTCTCAAAAATTTAGAAAGAAGACCTGAGATTTAGCTCAGCGGTTTGGTGGCTTGCCTTGCAAGCGCAAGGACCTAAGTTCAATTCCAGGGACCCCCAAAAAAAATTTAGAAAGAGAAGGAGGCTGGGGCTGTGGTTGCACACTCACCACCTTGCTGGATCCCAATTTCTTTGCAAAGTCTCTGCCTCCACATATCATCTCTGTAAGAATTTGGTGATTAGTTTTCTGACATATGAGCTTTGGATGGACACTATGGCACCCTCACCCTGCGGACTCTTCCTGAGTGAGCAGAGGGTGCAGGAATTCACTGTTGAGAAGTTGGGACCCTGAAGGAGCCAAGACTGGCTGGCGGGGATACAGAGAGTACAGAGGAACACAGCGCAGGAAGCAGTGAGTTCTAGCGTGGGTAGGGTGAGCTGTTGTGAGAATCCTTTCTGAGGAGGAAGCGTGTTTTAGTCACAATATCTGACACCTACAACATGAAGGAGGAAAAGTTTATTTTGGCTTACAGTTTCAGTCTGTGGTCTGCTGGCTTCAAGGTAGAACCCAGATGATGGAAAGGCCTGGTGGATGAAAAGGTGCTCGCCCCATGGTGGCCAGGGGGCATAGAGAGAAGGGGGAAGCTGGGACCAGAATACACTCATCAAGGTCACAGCCCTAGGGGCCACCTCCAGGCCTCACCTCCCAACAGCAAGGCAACTATGAACTCGTCAGTGGATAAATCCCATGATCTAAGCACCTTTCTAAAGCTTACCTCTGAATACATGACATTTTTAGGTTACCTTTATATCTAATCCATAAGAGGACATTTATTTATTTACTTATTCATTTATTTGTTTGGTACCGGGGATCAAACTCAGGACCTTGTGCTTATGGGGCAGGTGGCGGAACTGCTGAGGCAAATCCCTGGCCCAGAGGACATTTAAATTGAGGACCTTCCTGTGAAAAGTGAAGGTGAGGCTTGTGACTTACCTAGAGAGAAGGTCACTTGCCCAGGTCCGGGGGATGGAGGTCATGGTGCATTTTGGGCACTAGCAAGAGGGGTTGCACTACGGAGTTGAGGGGTCTGGGCATGAGCAGGTGGACTGATGGAGATGGGAGTGGGAGAGATGACCAAGGGCAGCGAGTGGCAGCACTGAGATGTGCTCTGTGCTACGATCATGGGGCATGGGTTTCTGTGCTCCAACTGCCTTAACAAAGCACGGCAGAAATGGGTACTTTTTACAGTTCTGGAGATTGGAAGTCCAAGATCAAGTGTCAGGCCTGTCTACTGGGCTGGCTGTCCTCTCCCTGTGTCTCTACTCAGCCTTTTCTCCGAGGGTCCCCGCATCTTACTCTTCTAAACACACTGCTCAGATTGGATCAGGACTCACTCGTATTCTCTCATTGTACTTGAATGCCCTCTTTTAAGACCCTGTCTCCAAATACAATTACATGCTGAGGTTCTGGGGTTAGGACCTGAACCTGGGGATTTTGGGGGAGACACAACTCAGCCCATGATAGGGGACGAATGGAGGTTGTTTCTTATGATTTTTTTTTCCAGGAGCCATTTGGAATACTCAACTCGCTCATTTTCTTGGCCTGCGATGTGTTCTTAATGGCATTAATTCTTCCTCTGAAGGGCCTCTAAATATAGATACCATCTGCTGCCAGGCAATATGTTATCACTGATCACCCACTTAACAATTGCTTCCTTACACGCAAGAAGGAAAGGATTTGGAAGCCAGGGGGAGGTGCGTCTTCCATACGGGGCTCAGCCAGGGACAACCAGAGTGGATCGGATTCCAAGGCCTCCAAAGAGAT